TTAACCCATGTCTTTTAATCTATGTTCTTTTATGTGGCTCGGTTACCTTTTCTCTGTAATGCCCATCTTGCTTCCTTTCCATCTGGCTGGTGACTCCACCTTTCTTTTTCCCAGAGCTTTCTCTGCCCACAAGTCCCTGTTATACCTCCTGCCTAGCTATTGTCCATTTAGCTTCTTATTAGAACAATTACAGTGACATATCTTTATACAGTGTAATCAAACATCTAGCAGCATTTTCCCTCTTTTTGTGAAAATAAAAAGGAAAGGGTTTTAACTTTAACATAGTAAAACTATATATAATAGAGACTATTATTAGGTTAGAATTATGTTTACAATGTCCAGACTATTTGCATTTGGCAAGTTCAGAAAAAATACTATGTTATCAATACTACCTTGGTGAGTACCTAATTTACCTATTATAACTAAGAAAATTATATCTAGTGTTCAACTTCATCAGAGCACCTAGAAGGATATAATATTACCTGAATGAACAGGAAGTGGAAAGCAAGCCACTTCCTAAACTATGAAATGACAGACACATCTGACTGCCCGGACAGTCACCCCATTGTTCCTTTGTCACGTTGGGGTATCCTTCCGACAGAATTTTCTTTGAAGCTGGAAATTTTAAAGGACTGCCCTACTCTATCTTGGAAAAGTTTGAAAGTCACTTCCTTTCTTGTCTTTCTTGTCCAGTTTGGACAGCATATTGTCAGCAGTTGAGGTAAGGACAGTTTCTTGCCTCAATGGCTAGCTTTTGAAACAAAGAAAGCAAAATCCATATGGAGGTTCTTTGATGCCCGTCATCCTTTTATGAAGTAGATTGGTGTTGCCAGGAACAGACATGTCTCACTGTCACGAAAAGTCTTTTGCTATTAAAACATCTAAAGTGCAGTATTCTGTAGAAGGTCCTTTAAGTGTATGAAGACCACCTGTCTATTTAAAATATATTTGTTTGTCCTTGAAAACATACCTAACGTGGCCACAAATTTGATTGTTAGATGACTACTAACCCATATTTCTTAATTATCCAAAATAGTTTGTAATAATAACTTTCAAGGTCTAGAAATTTACATTACATTGTTAAATAAGCTGTATAGGTACGATACCTTAAACAAGAGTAGGAACATATATACAGTATAATAAAAAAAAAACCTTCAATTTGTATCAATAGAGAAAGATCCATACCAATGTAAAATACTTGAGACTAGTGGTTGTTCCAAAGTGGATTCAACAATCCACCCTTTTATCCCATCATTTCTATTCTATATCCCCCTTTTCCCTTCAGAAAGAGAACTCTGAATCTAATCTTTTGTTTAGCTTTATCTCTGACCATGACCAGCCACAATTTGTAGCCAATAACTCATAGCCAATGACAAACATCCATAACCCACCAAAAGACCAAAAACCATTCACCCCACCTCTTGGGAATGTAAGTGTTGTGTTCTCTAGACTGTTTCCTGTTTGGGGAGCATTGGCATCTTTAGAAGACCCTGGGAAAACTGGGATAATGGTCAAGTCCTAATGGGAGAGCAAGCCGTAACACTTGTTCCGTCTCTGTGCAATGGGACAGTGCGAGGATTATCTGAAGTCCTGGATAGTGTAATTTGTGAGGCTGAATCATCTCAACCAGCAGCCTTGGAACTGTTCTGGATGCAGAACTCCGAGGAACTGTAGCAGAGGCACTCTGAGGGCTGGATCACCCAGGCCACCCATTTTCATTGGTGTCTGGTCCCCTTGCTCTGAAAACACACAAGCTTTCACAGGTAACATACATATATATCTGCGTTAACACACAAGCTTTCACAGGTAACATACATATCTGCGTTAACACAAGCTTCCACAGGTAACATACATATCTATGTGTACTGTGTGCTGTACACAAGCCAGCCGAAGATGATTTTTTTTTTGTTTTATGTTTGAGCAGGTAAAATAGACACAACTTGTCTTATAGTTTTTAGGTTTGTTTCTTCTTGTCTATAGTCAGGATTTTTAGGGGGTCTCCCTGATCAAATCTGATCTCTATAAACCTTGAATGAATTCAAAACCTTTCGTTTTTCTGTGGAAACAAAAACATAACCTTTCTCCAATGCAACATAGTTTTGACTTTCATTTTGAAGTTAAGACATTTTAAAAGTATCTAGGTTGGTTTAATTCAGCAGTCTCTTCCACAGATCAATGTCTCTCAGCAGTTATTGTTTTCTGTTTATTATCATTCAAAAAATTCAAAATCAGCAAGACACATATAGGATCCAGACTCTCCGTATATTTTCCATCTTTACATGGCTTATCATCTTATATTATTTTCTCTTTAAAGACTTTATCTTATTATTTATAAACTATTTTTATGACTGTTTATACCCATTTTTATTTTTTAAAAACCTACACATTTTAAAACATATCATACCTCTTTTTAGTGGTTTTCTGTGCCTGGATCTGGCTTTACTAAGCATCTGCAGCATTCCCTGATTGCCTGAGATGAATCTTCGACTGCTCTATCAGCTGCAGTGTGGCTTAGTGCAAGGTGCTGGTGGTTGTCTCCAGCCAACAGGCAATAGCCTTTTAGTTACTGGTCCATTTTAGGTGTGGTCTCAGACTGCAGATTGCTATCCTTACTGTGAGTTTATCCCCAAATACATAAACCTTTGTTATACTCCATTCCTGGCTCTCATCATAAAAACAAAGCAAAACACCAACAAAGGCCAACCCAACACAGACAGCATTTCCTAGTCCCAGGACCTCTTGTCTGTCCGCTCCCCTCCGCATCCGAAAAGACTTGGCTGAGCTTTGTTCTCACTACCTCAAGTATGACTCACAAGCCTGCCATCTGCCCATGCATATTTACCAGTCTTAGGTGACTTTTATGTTAATAAATACAAAAGACGTCTTCAGCTCCTGGACACACGGTCCACCTCGGGAGAAGCAGGCTGAAGGAAGTGACAATCCTCTATGTGGTCTTGACCTTGTTCAATTCCAGGGTCTCAGAGACGTCCTGGAGATGTTGAGGGAGGAGGGCTAAAATGAGGGGGAGCTTTAGACTGGAACATAAGTGGTCCCCGCAGTGTATCTGCAGGAGAGAGAGGGAGGAAGGGAGGGAGAGGGTGGTGGGGAGTAGTCAATGCCAAATGAGTCATGGAGTCCTTTGAAGGGAACAAGGGAAGCCTAGTCAAGTTCTCAAACTTCAGTCTACTTCAAAATTATGTCAAAGGTTTGTAAATTAAAAAAGCAAATTACTGGATTCCAGTCTCAGATTTTTTTTTAAAAGAAATACAATAAATAAATAAAACCAAATAGCGCTGTGAATGTTGCTCAGGGGTAGACTGCCTATCTAGCATGTATAAGGCCCTAGTTTCCATTCCCAGCTCCGCAAAAACTGACCCGAACCAAAACCTAACAGACTTTGGGATTAAGACTTTGTTTTTTAATCAAGCTCCCATAAGATGCTGATGGTGTTGGTTCAAATCCCTGCTTTAAGAACAATGGTCTCAAGTGTGGAGAGGGCCTCTCTCTCTCCCTCCCTCCCGCCCTCCCTCCCGCCTCCCGCCCTCCCTCCTTCTTCCTCCTCTCTCTCTCTCTCTCTCTCTCTCTCTCTCTCTCTCTCTCTCTCTCTCTCTCTCTCTCTCCTTTCTCTCCGTCCGCCCTCCCCCCCACCCCGGTGAGATGCTCCATCATCGAGGGTCCATCAGTGGAGGTTGAGCCAGTGAGAACGCATTGGATGCTGCAGGAAAGACCGCCCCCCCCCACCGAGGACCGCCGAGGCTCCTGGACTACATCTCCCAGGAAGCCTCGCGCCGGCACGCGCGCACCCCCTGGAGGGGTCCATCAGGAATGCGCCGGCGGGCTCCTTGGGACCTTCCCAGTAGCATCCGTGAGCGCGGAAAGCCGCGGCAGCTCTGGGCTGCGGTGGCTCGGGAGTCCGGTGCGAGTGAACCACAGCGGGTGAGTTGGGGTATGGGCCGCCCGCTCCTCTATTCCTGAGCTGTCTTGTCTCAGGTCTAGCGAGCAAGACACGGGTGCAGGAGTCCTAGCTCGAAGATGCGGGGTGCCCCTCTGGGAAGACGCGCTGCGGTCCTGGGTACCCGGGTGGCGGGCAGCGCCGGGATCGCGCTGCAGGTGGGGACCGCAGGTGGCCGGCCCTCCCTTCCGTTTTGGCGCAGTATCCTGGCACGGGGGCCAGGTGGCTCGGGCAGCTGTGGCCCCGGGGAGTCCCCCGCCTCCGGGACAAGTGCGTGCGTGCCGGCGGGACACTGGTGCCCCCGAGTGCGCTTCCACAGAGCCGCTGCGATCTGCTCAGGTGATTGTCTAGAGCTCGGGCTGCCGGTCTCTAGGACGCCTGGGAGCGCAGGGAACTGTGTGGATGCTGGTGCGTGTCCCCGCAGTATGCAGCCTGACGCGAGCGCAACAGTGCCGGTCTCTTTTTCTAAATACCCACGGAACAAAATTAGTTTTATATGCTTATTTATTTTTTTTTAAACAAGTTTGACTCTGGATATATTAGTTTGATTTTTGTGGGAGCTTCGTAAGCCAACACGCAAGTTTATATAATAAGCAGTATACGCTTTGAAAAAAAAAAAAAAATCCCGTGAAGGTGCTCTTCCTTGCCCTCTATCGGATGAATTATGTCGGACTGGTTGACATGGTATCCATTAGTAACTGCGGTGGCTGGAGGCAAGAGATAAAGTGTTTTTGAGTGAAGTCACGACCGAACCCTTCTCATCAATTTTTGGTTTCATAAGATTTGGTTATCCGGTTTCAAACACTGTTTATTCAGCGTTTAAGACGGAGATGGAGGGTGGGAGCAGAGGTTTGTCAATTCTAATTCCCTAGTCTGAGGGAAATAGTTTTCATGATTAACTCAAAGTCATCAAGTTTGTTGATTATTTTGATGCGGGGTCTCGCTAATTATCTTTGGATGGCCTAGGTCTTACACTGCACTTATTTTGTTTTTGTTTTTGAGAAAGTGTCTCCCTAGGAAGTTCTGACTGGTCTGGAATTGCAATGTGGCCCAGACTGGACTTAAAAGTGCCTCCTCCTTCCACTTCCTGAGCGCTGGGAGGAGTGAGCCACCACACTTGACCAAAGAGAGCATTTTTAGAGCTGGCACAGTGGCCTCTCTCAAGCCTGCTTCGGTTTTAGTGCTAGTTTTAAAGCTGGTGTGTGGATGCGCCAGGTGGATAACGTTCTCGTTTCTTAAGAAGCACCACAGGACATTTTTTTTTGTCTTGTTTGGTTTTAGAGAAGTGTGTCCCCCTGACTTTTCTGTAAGGGTACTCTATTGTATTAAAGTGCTTTTCTATTCATACCTGATTCATACCCCATGCTTTTGTACAGCATGTCTTGAAATGACCATGTAAGATTTCCTTCTTAAAAAAATCTCTAATGCATTATTATTTTGCTGGATATTCTCACCAGAACCCTGTAATTCCGACTCTTTGGAGCCATGTATAGTAGCTCATGCCTGTAATCCCAGCACTTCAGACTGAGGCAAGAAGAATGAGTTTGAGGCCAGCTTGTGCTCCATGGCAAGACCCTGTCTCAAAAAAATGATAGTAACAACCAAACAAAAACCTGAAGACAGACAGAAAAACCCAACAACCATCCCCCCCAACAGCAATAAAACACCACCTTGAATGCATGTTTGGCTTGTTTGCTAGATCGGAAAGCTGGCATTTTCCTTAGGGGTAGGTAGGTGGCATTTCTATGAACGTTCCTCCTACCGTGTGATTATGTGTGTGCTGTTCACACCGATCCGGCTGGGGACTTCCTGTCATTTCCTTTGGAACAGAAGAAGGATCTGTTCCTTGAAGTCTGGCACGAACTGCCAGCAGACCGCCTGGGCTGCCACTAAGCTGATACCACCCATAACCGTTGATTGTTCACAGTTGGCCTGTTGCTTCAGTCATTTTACTACCCTTCATTGTCTCAGGAAACCTTTAGCATTACTGATAATCAATACATGTTAGCATCTGGCACCTATTCACTTTGAGAAGGTAAACTCATGTATATATGATGTTATTATTCTTATTAATGCTAATGCTTTGAGGCTTCTCTTGTTCTCCCTCTTGCTAGTATGTGTTAATTGTCTAAAACAATGGCTCTCGTACATTTTCACACATGTATATCGTGTACTTTGATCATGCCCACCTTTTCTTCTTTTTATTGGTCAGGCTTAATGTATAATGCTTCCTTTCTGGATCACTTCAAAGAATTGGGTTTTGGATTTACTGATTAATGCTATTGATTTTTTATCTTCCTACATTGCTAATTTCTGTCATTAAACTTTATGCTTCTTTGTACTTATTTGAATTTATTGTGTTCAAGCTCTGGTCCTTTTGGGCTGAAAATATGATTCCTTTATTTAATCTCTTGGCTCTTGTGCTGAGCAGGTCTAAGATGTCCAGTTTCACCCTGTGGCCTGAGCTGTGTTTTCTTCACCCGAACCCTTGGATTCAGCATTGCTGCAGCTCTGGTCCTGTAAGTCAGTGTTCATCACACTCACCAAGGCTTGCGTTATCTACCTGTCTGTCACTCTACATTCTGCATTCCGTTTCCTGTCACAGACCGTCTTCTAAGGACAATTTTCCTTTTCCTTTAAGTACACTTTTTAAAATCTCGTTCTGTGTTGATGATCTCTGAGAATACCTTTATTTTGTGTGTGCATTCTTGGACTTGGGTTTCCCCATGTTTCTTTATTTAAATTAATTCCGAGTGTGTGTGTATGTGTGCCTGTGCGGCTTGTGTACGTGTTGCCATTTTTGAAAGATTTTGTAGCTGGGAGATTTGGGGATCTCCAGGCTACCATATCAGTGAAGGGAGAGGAGGCAAAAAGATACATTTTGTGGTGTAGTGAACTGGGAGTTTGTGACCTTTAACCTATTTTTAGGCACCTGCTTTGCCAGTGTTCACATTGTCGCCCACCCATCTTGAAAATGAAACTGGAAGCACGTACCTCTCCCCAGACCCCAGGATTGTCACTCTTTCTGTCTCTGTGACCAGGCTTCGGTATTTCACATGATAGCTGGTTTTCAGGGACAGGGGTATTTTATTTTAACATGATTTCCTAAGGACTCCATGTTGTATCACGTGCCTGTCGCGGTTTCCTTCCTTTTGCAGGCTAGTGTTCCGTTCTCTGTGTATGCCCACGGCGCTCATCTTCTGGTCATCTATCTGCTCTTGTCGGTGGATACATGCTGCGTTCACAATTTCAGGGACTGTCAGTGACCATGGGAGCACGGTCTCTCTTCAAGAATCTGTTTTCTATTCTTTTGAGAAATGAATACATGTAGAAGTTGGAATAACTAGCTTATGCACTAATTGGTTTTTTGAAGTTTTTTTGGGAATTCACCAAACTGTTTTCCATAAATTTTCCTTTTACCTTCCTGTGACTCTCATGTCCTTCCTCTCTTGACACAGCCATCTTGACAGATACATATTTTTACTTTTCAATAGGCAGCTTTTGCCTTATATTTTATTCATTTCTTTTGTGTGTGTACATATTTGTGTCCGTAGGGGTGTGTGTGTGTGTGTGTGTGTGTGTGTGTGTGTGTGAATGTGGATGCTCATGTGGAAGCCGAGGACAGCTAGTGGGAGTTAGTTACCTGCCTCTGTCACGTGTGTCCCAGGGAGGTGACTCGGGTCAGCAAACTTAGCTGCAGGTGCCTTTACTCACTGAGCCGTCTCCCTGGGCTCTGCTCTAAGCCACCAGTGTTTATTTAGACTGTTGATACTTTGGGCTTACTGCTACTGTCTTATTTTTTTCTGTTCTTTATTCTTGTTTATTGCTAGTCTCCACTCCTCTCCCCCCACTTTTTGTTCGATTGAGGTTTTGTCTGTTTTTATTTTATTTTGAGGCAGAACCTCACTATGTTGTGAACCTCGCGGAAATCCATAAATACTAGGATTAAAGTACATGTACCACCACACCTGGATGGATTGAGTTCTATTCCATTTTTATCTGACTCAAGACTTGAAAGTTAAATATATTTTTCTATTCTATATACGGGTATGTACCCATATATTTTGTGACAGCTGCTCTTTGGGATGCAAACATAAAGGCATGCAAACTATAAATGTATAGTTCAATGAATTTTAACAACCAGAACCAGCCCTCGAATAAGAAACGACTTTCTCTATGCCCTTGAGTCTTCCTCATTTCATGAGCATTTTGGGGTAAAGGAGGTACAGCTTCCCACTGCATCTCAGCAGCCCGAGGAATTCTAGAGTTAGAGACCTGAACTCAGGTTCACATCAGCATTTGTGGTTTTGTTACTAAAAAATAATTTCAGGACTAGCCTTGGATATTTTATTAAAGATGCTTTATATGGGCTTAGGCATGAGAAACAGGAAAGTGAGACACACCCAGGTCTGGCTGTGGCTTCAGGGAGGAGAGAGCCTGCTAACTGTTTTTACAAGTCATAGCTAGGATTTTGATGAGTTTGCAGTTTCTGTCCTATCACTGTGTGGTTCCTGGGGGGCACCTGACAGGATTACAGTTGATAAGGTTAAAGTCTAGTCCACTGGGATGGCAAGATGTCTTTACATAAACAAGGTGAAATCTTGTTTGTGAGCCTTTGACGGTGGCTGGGGAAGGGTGATGCCCTACCCAGTGCCCTATGCATTCAGGCCTCAGCCTTTGGCAGCCTTTACTGTAGGTGTCGGTCTTTGTGTTGGGATTCTTGCTTCTCAGCTGCCGAGGGTTTTTTTTTATTCTGGCTCCAAGGTGACAAGCTGCTTCCTCATGACCTCAGGCAGCTCATCACGAAGGACAGCCACTGTTTTGATTTCTAATACATCGTCGAGTTTTGCCTGTTCTTCCATTTTGTGTTAATGGAAACAGATCGTCTGTGTTCTTCTGTGCCCGACTGCTTCCCACCAGCGTTACCCTTTGTGAGAATTGTCCATGTTTGTTAGAGAAACTGAGGTTTGTTTGTTCTTATTGC